TCTAGTTGGGGCTGCCCCAGTAGAACTGCAAATAAAGGCAAAACGATTAAAGTACAAAACAGTGCTCCTCCCAAAGCCAGCTCTTGTGTATCTGGACCTCACTGTGGGGAGCACAGCAGGGTGACTGTGGTGAGAGGGACACATGCCCAGGGGAAGAGGGAAGGAAAGACCCCAAACCCAGTGCCAGGGGAGACATCAGGTAAACAAGAAAGAGCCCCTGGCAGTGGAGGTGGTGTGTGTGTGTGTGTGTGTTCGTGCTCCATCAATAACAATTGTCACATGTCAGGAAAGTGTGCTGGGACGGGGAGGGGAGAACTAATAGGGGTTGGGGTCAAATCTGTCCTCTGGTCATGTCACTGACTTCTCTAACCTCGGTAGCCCCATCTCTGAAATGGGACCACAGTAACACCCCCTGACAGAGGTCCTGGGAGACGCCTGTGCTGTGATGACAGCGGACCCTTGGAGCTGTGGGAATCTGTGTCCATAGAAGCCGGTGTTCCCTTGGTTTTGGTGTGAGGTGCCGGGTCCTCTTGGGCTCTGTCCCCCAGATCCACACGCCTCAGACGTAGCCCAGGGAGGAGTGGGTGTGTGTGCTGGGTGGGGAGTGGCTTTTCCTGAAAGTTGGTCGAATCTCTTCTTTCCCCCTTTGGTGCACAGGAGGTGACGGAGGCCTGGCCACAGGCCTGATGAACTGTGGTGTGTGGAGGGAGGGGGCTGAGTGGCTGGCCTGAATGGAATCTGGCTGGGTCCCCTTCAAGTTGGCCCCTTGAGGGGGTGCATGTGCCTGCTGCAGTGCCCGACACCCCCAGACCAAGGCTATATTTGGGTACTGTTTTGAGGCTGGTTGGTTGTGGGGTTGGGGGTGTGCCGGGAAGACTGTGCTGGTCTCCCAGTGTGGTTGACTTCTGGGGGTGGGGAGGGCAATGTATTTTATGCCCAGAATATGGCCGAGGTAAGCCCCAGAAACTCCTGCCACCCCTGGAGCCCTCTGGAACCACTGCCCCCTGCTGGGCTGTGGGAAGGCCAACATTGAGACCTCAGGGTGGGAGTCTGCAGGGCTAGGCCTGGGGAGGCCAGTGTTGTAATGTACCCCGCGAATCACAGGACGCCTCAAGAAGTCGAATTAAAGAGTCACATTTATTGCAACCCGGGACTATGAGGGGCCATTCCCCAAATCTCATAGTGATAAGATGGTCGCAGCTCCAGGGTAATATAGGCAAAAAATCACAAAGGTATTGATTACATCTCAAGGTTTGGAATGAGGAACCTGGTTTGCAAAAAAGCAGTATACAGAAGCAGAAGCAGCATATTAATTATAGTTTTCGGTCTAGGGGCCACTGAATTGACAGAAACACATTATCTAGAGCCCTCGGGTCTGGAATGAGGAACCTGGGTTAAACTTAGGCATGTTATCTAAATTACAGTTTGGGGTCTCCGGAACACTGAGTCAACAAGGACACGTTATCTGGAGCCCTCTGACCTTGGGATAACTGTGCTGTCCTTCCCAGGTGGAGGAAAAATGCGCTTTCTAAGACCAGTATGACCACTGCAAATGGGATTTCACATTACAATCAATAGGGTATTCAATCGAATGGGATGATTTATATAATTCAGAAAATCAGAATAACCTGTCCATTGTTAAACAAAGCAAATAGGGACCATACTTCACCAGGGGCTCAGGGCTGGTGAACATGTGGGGAAGGGATTCAGAGCTCTGCCTGGGACCTCAACCCCCGGCCTTCTCATTTTCCTCGTTTCTGTGCTGTCCTCTGTCCCCTGTAGGTGTTGAACTTGTGTGTGTGTGTGTGTGTGTGTGTGTGTGTGTGCTGGGAAGAAAGGGCGGGGAGGGCCCCAGGAGGAGGGCTTGAGCTGTCTGTCTGCTTTCTTTCTCCTTTGCGTTTACCCCAAACCCACCGCTCCCTGTCCTCTCTGTGCCCAGCCTCTCCTGTCTGTCCACCTGTCTGTCTCTGGGAAGGGATGGGAAAGAGGGTCCCATGTCTCAGTCCCTGGGCCTCCATCTCCTTGGGAAGCCCCAAGTGTGACCTTTGCCTTCATGCCCCGCCCCCACATGTCCTACTTCTGGCCCCTTTCCAGGCCAACCCCCAGCCTCTAGGACAAGAGTGTCCGGGAAATGCTAGTCTGAGGGAGGAGGCTGCCACCCCCACCTGTCCAGGAGGCCCGGGAAAGGAAGACAGTGGAGGTTCCTTGCTATACCTTTCAGGAAGGCCTCAAAGGAACCCCCTTCCCCCACCTGTGCAGCCTTAAGAAGGAGAAAGGGGCGTGTGGCTAGAAAGGTGTCCAGACCCCCAGTTTCCACCCTCTTTGGCCTTAAAGGACAGCACCTCACCTGCAGTCATCCCTCCAGCACCCCTCCCCCTCCTTCTGTCCTCTAGTTGGGGCTGGGCAGCACCTGCCTCACACCAGGTGCCTCTCCGCCACCCCAGGCCTGGCCCCGCCCCGCCCCTCCCCATAGTGATTCGGATTGGGGCTGGGCAGCCCCAGGCC